TCTTTTATTTCAAGCTCACCAGAATTTATTGTATCGACATAAGAATGGAAATTACAATTGTTAATTGACAATGCATCGTCGATATATCTAATAGTCGAGTTGAAGGTCACAACATGTGTTTTCTTCTTTTCACATTTTGGACAATTTTGGACAAATTCTGGGCGTAATTGGTTCCCATGGAATCCAATAGATTGTCGGAAGACCTGGTCTCCAAAAACAACATAGATATTTTCAGTCAGACACTCTCGTTTGTCACTTGTACCAAATTTAACATCGCAAGAATACTTAAAAAACTTCTACCAAATTTGACATCACAACTTGAATAGCTGAGCAATTTTAAAGAAATTTAAGCGTGATCCCTACATTACCGAGTCTCCTAGTCTTTGAATGATTATAAAAGTTATATTTGCTACATGTACCTATTATTTATCTGACCATTAAAAATTGTAATAGTTCTTTTTTGTACTTTACAGGCATTACTGCTATAAAAAATACAATTATTTTATTTCAATGACTTATCAGTTACATTATTTTTAGAGATTAATTTTAATTGGTAGAAAAAATGAAAAGCATGGACTTGTATACGAAATACAGGTCCTTATTCCTATACTTTTATATTTAAATTCTAATATTGTTTTCTGTGCTAAGTTTAATCCTATGAAAATTATAACTCTTCAGTTGAATCACCGAAGCAACAAATATACATTTCCAAACAAAACATTCTTTTGAGATGAAGGTATGTACATCACATCAAAACTGTTAAATAAGTACTTGAGTAGATATTAATTTTCATAAATATCTCCTCCCAATTTAAGTAATACTCAAAGAACTTCAAGGAAAAAATATACACTTAAAATTATTTTTTAAACTGAGGTATCAGTGAAACATTTTATTAAGTCCGCCTAGAACCCATACCTAGAAGTAAAGAATAAAAGAAATAGGACAAACACAATTGTTTATTACTTTATTATTAAGACGCCAATATACTTATTCCCGGCATTTAGGGCCTATAAGCAACGACGGATCTTTTTCATACAGCTCATGTTGTGATAGGGAACCTAATTTATATGGTATCACCCAAAAGATGGGTCTCCACGTCATTTGAATCCCCAAAAGTAAATGTCGATTCCTTTCTCTGCAACACAAGAGCAAACGCGCGCTCAAACAACTCCACCACGCAGGTGAGTACAAAACAGTTCTAATGAATTAAGCAACCTCACTTTTGATAAAGAGTTACTATTAAGGTTTTTAATGAATTTTACATATACTACAAACTTTTGTTACTTTTTGGAGGATGAAGCATTATGCATATGTCTAGAAATTTGTTTGTTATGGACAAAATCAGAGTCTGATAACATTACAGGTATATCTCTTTTTGTAATTTTACAGCTTGCAACAAGTTAAGAAATATAATTTAATAGATTTCTAAGACGTGGTGAAAATATTCTGCAGAGAATTGTACATGTTTTTAACTACTCTGTCATTCCAATTCCAGTTTTGGGTAGTAGCACAGGATAAAATTCAGACATAAATGTTTTTTAAACGTGCCTGAAAGATAACTACAGGTATAAGAAGACCTCTACCATCCAGTCAACACTTTGGACCTGTTTGTGACAGTTCACTAGACTTATTTGTGCAGCTTCATTCTGTGTAGAATTCTGTGTAGTTCTTGAGGACACAACGGCGACCGTGGAGACCATTGGTAAAACGCGGCGATCTATGGGCGTCTGTTAGATTAAGCAAATTTTTCAATGCTCAGAAATACAATCTTAAACTCAAATGTGTAAAGGGAAATACTTTTTCAAAGAAAAAATACATACGCACTGTTTTAATTGTAATAGTAGTTCGTTTAAATATGTACAATTAGGAATAAAATAGCTTATGTCTCTTTTTTAAAAGAATGGCATTCACAAACATTACTGAATAACGACAAAAATGACTGATTGAATGATTATTATTGTTTCAGGTCGAGTTGACAGTATCCCAAGAACCACAAGAAAACGAATGACCCAATTCAGTAATAAGAAGACTATGCAGCACAGGCAAAATTAATTGTTTGGGAAAAAAGAACGTTCATTTGAATGTCTACAACAAGCAAGAAATAGACATTCAAGAGACATGTCTTTGAATTGATTTTTTCATAATCAAAGAACTGCAAGTTGATGCTATATATGTTTGGACGTTTTTAATTTGTATTCTGAAACTTATTATTAATATTTTTTTGCTGGAAAATGAAAAATCCTTCTACGCACTGCTTTATGTCGAGACTTCAAGCAATTACTTTTCTTTTAATAAAAGGTCAGCATTCTTTCTTTTCTGGTATTTGGTTTATGTTCTAACATACTTTATTATAATAGTATAATAATATCTTTTCCAAGATATTCTTTTCTATATTAATTAGAGCTCGATCACGATCTTTTGAGAGGGAATTTTTGATGATTAATCTGTTTTTCGATTGTTAGCGTTCGACACTTTATGTTAAGAAGATAGAGATTGATACCCTTATCTGAAATATGTTTGCATGCTTGCATATAATAAACTGTACAAAGTATACCATTTCATGACAAATATGTAGTATTCAATCTTTAAAAAAAAAAACATTTAAACAATACAATCAGGAGCTGAGCAAACACGGACCTCTAAACATCAGAGGTTGGATCGGGAGCAATAGAGGAGTGAAAATCCACTTCCAGTCACACCCACCATGTGCTCCTTGCAATGATTGGAAAAGAACAGAAAATCCGTTGACAATGCATAATTCATGTTTTGCTATGGGAAACGCAAATTATGTGTCGGATCAAAAAGTAAGATAGGAGGTACAATGGCACTATGTTATAAAGATTCTATGAATTTTTCATTAAATTTCACTCAGTGGTATTCGAGGAGTTGCGGGTAAGAAATGCGTACTTCAAAGCGTAACAGATAGACGGACAGACATCCCGATCATATGCACTATATGCCCTCTCACCTTTCAAGCGGGGGGAGGGGGGTGTGGGGTTGTTGATTGTTAAGAATACATGAAGTTGTTAATATAAATATTTAAGCAAATGATAAAAAGAATGCATTAATTAAAGGATTCAACGAAAATGCCTGTTTGTTTAAGATACATTTGAACCTTACATGAACAAAAATCCATATAGCATGCTATCCTTTCTTGATTATAAACCCACTTTTCTGTAGAGTATAATTTTGTGTTTATTATTATGATAAATCTATTATATAATTAACCTTTCTTAAGTACAAAAAGTAATAGTGTGTGCACGTCAAAATTTTTTGAAATGAAGGAGTGAAGAATAGAATAAGATTGCCCCGTGTCGGCTCTTTTATTTTTTTTCCGCGGAAATCTTAGCAATTCAATTAGAAAAAATGTAATGTGGGATATAAATCTCATGAAAACACTGAAAAACAATACGAAATTATATATTTCTGCACGTGTCTTTTATCGATTCAATTGTAATTTTTGAATTCACCGTGTGTAATTATTAGTAAATACGAAAATTATAAATTAGGACGTGTAACTCCCGCCGAAATATGGCTGAAATATTGCCGACTCGGCGTTAAAAAACAATAATCAATCAATCAATCATTTAATGTCATATTCTGCCATCGGTAAATTCAAAATTTCCATGGCAAATTGATAGCATATATAAAATCAAACTTTTATCGGAGTTATTAGAAAAGAAGGAGAACTAAAATCTTTGGAATCCATCATGGTGGCCATACAATTGAATGATACAATAAAAGCTGGACAAGTAAATTAAAAAAATCATCTGGAAAGTTTTTGAAATGTAAAATTTTTAAAATTGAATTAAAATTTAAATTGTATAAATTACACAAAATACAAACCCAGAATATTTCAAAATAGATAAAAATAATATTTCCATGTACATGTAACTTTACTTGAAAATAAAAATGCGATAGAAATATAGTGGATATTAAAAGTAAATCTGTAGTTGCTATGAAAATATTAAACAAATTTAGTATACATATATTAAAAAATGCTTCATTGACATGCTTAATAAAATGAACAAATCTGTTTTTGTTTTAATAAAAAAAACAACAAAATACTGAATTTTGTAAAATAATTCATTCACCATATCCTTATCGAAGTGTTTTCCCTGCCCTTATTTTTTTTTAAAAGGAAAAGCACTTTGCTGCATTTGAAAGATGTTTTTTTTTATATCAGATTTCATATAATGTAAGCCATTACTTAATTTTGAGCTAATTATATTGTTTTGAAAATCAGAAAAGAAAAGGTATGTATAGTGTAAAAACGTTTTAGTGGACGAGAATCATGATATTTCTTATCAATGAATCTATTGTAATATATATATATATATATATATATATATATATATATATATATATATATATATATATATATATATATATATATATATAAAATCTAATTGGAGCATGCAATGCTTAAAGTATGCTATCATTTATTTTGTGTTGAAAAAAAAAAACAGTGTACAAAGGTCCATAAAGTCTTTAAAGAATAATTATTATTATTCTAGAATTGTACATGTAAATACAAAATTTCACACACTACTTTATGAATCATCTTGGGAAACAATGTTGATTTTGGAAACTATTTATTTAAACAATGAAAATTCTATACGTCAAAAATTAAAAAAAAAAGACTAGTGGGAAAATATTATTTCAGAATTAAACCGCTTCCTTCTTCATTGTTATTTAAACACTTTATTGACAGTAAGCAAATAAAATGTGAATTTCTCTCAACTTTGTGATGCCTGCATGTTAATTGAAAACAAAGATTTCAGTTGAGTTAAAACAAAACAGGATTCTTTAATTGCCAGCATACATTGATTGATTTTTTATGTAAATGAGGTAGTTTGCGTGCTACTTCTATTTTTCTACGTACGGCAATACAATGTCTAAAAGCAAATAAAACACAAACAAAACGTTCATTGCAGAACGTTTTACCTGAAACTACTGTTATCAGAGATATTTATTTAAAATAAGACTTGCTCGTGACTTTACTTTCAATTAACTAAAACACAATATTTTGGCATGCTTAGTTTTGCCCCAAGCGCCCAATTGTAAGAGAAGTTTATGAAAATGATTGCATTACAAGGCCACCTAGTCCATTTTGAACCGTTAAGGTAAATTAAGTGACAAATATATGTTTGATTAACAAATGCAATATATCATACCAAAAGTGTGCGATCAAAAGCGTCTCTACTGATTGTCGGTATCAACAATAGATGGTTATATAGCTCGTTCGAGAATTACATGTATATTTTCTATAGATTTAGTACATGTAAGTTGCAAAATCGTTGTACAGAATCTTGTAAAAATATAAATATTTTTTCAACAAATTTTAAAGGCCTGAACAATTTCCAAAGAGTTGCACCTATGTTTTAAGCGACACTTGATACGTGCATTCTGTTTGTGTCACGTCCTCTTTCTTCTCTGGTGTTAGACCCAATCTGAATCGTTTGGCATCTTTTCTTGCATCCTCTAAAACAAACAATATCCAGAATGGCTTTCCTGAAGTTTGGGTTAAAGATGACGTAAAGGATGACGTTGTAACCCACGCTAAGGGTGGCAAGGAATATCTTAATCAGGTTATATGACCCTTTATAGTCCTCGCTGTCATCTCTACCGTTCATCTTCTAAGGAAAAAAATGAAATTGATTAATTTAATGTACACTCAAAAAATACATGTATTTTGATGAACTAGAAAGGGTTAAAATACAAAAATAATCATATACGTAATTATATATATTTTCACGAAAATAACTCTATATTTTATAAATGTTAAGGGACAAAATAAAGTGTCCAAAGTCTGCCAATTTTCGTAAATTTAAAACCAATTTCATATAATTTTATGAATATTATCAAGACCCCCACATTCAAGACCAACTGTTTAAAACCAAAAGTAATGGATGTAACCATTCGGCAAAACGATAGGTTGTATGTTTGCACATAAGGTCACTTTCTTGAACACAAACTTCGCAAAAATTGTACTAAATGCATATCTTCAGTTAATCACACTTTTTACAAATGAGATAAGCTAGACATGAATAATTTGGATATTTTTTTATATTATATTCTTATTTTTATCATAAAAGTAGAGGAGGGGTTAACTCTAACTCGCTGAAAAAGCAAGGGCAATGAAAATGTTTATATGCATGTAGTTGCTTACATGGTTATAGAACATATGGATTTGAAATTCTCGAAAGTCTGCAGGTTAAATCATTGCATCTTTACAAACAGAAATGCATAACAGGGTTACGCAAAATTTCATTGCTCCTACCTCTACATTTTAGAAAAGTATTAACTGCTGTTAAGGAGAAACTTCAGATTTACTGTTCTACATCATATTCTAGAATGAAGGATATGGAGATAACGAACAGTATTCAATACCAAAGTCCATAAATACATAATAGGAACAGAGCAAACACGAACCTTTTATTTATCAGAGATTGGATCAGGTGCCATGGAAGAGTGAGCATCCCCAGAAGTTAGTAAGTCGGAAGTGCATTCTCAAAAACATTAAGAAAATTTAAGATGGTCGAATGTATTGAAAGACAGTAACGTCAAAACCTTCACAATTTTACACTTTATACAGTCATTCCTCACAATAAATTCAGAACTGTTGATATCATACACAACCGTTTCTTCAGATAATGTAGGTCGAAATTTTTCCTTTATTGTGATTGGTCATCAACAAAATTAATTTGTTAAAGATCGCTCTAGATCTGATTCAACACATAAAGTACTTTGAAGTTGAAACTAAAAGTATGCTTTAGTTCCTCGTCAATAACATTTAAGTCTTCCAATGAACTTTTGGAATTCCGATGGGCACTAATTGAGCTTCTTTATAAACTTACCTGTTTTTATATTCTTATGAGGCAGAACTTAATTCAAAAACTGTTACATGAGAAAACGCTTGGTCACTAATGGACTTCAACTCGACATTTAATAGATAAATCGACGATGTTCTATAAATTAAAACTATTTGCGTTCATTCACATGTAGATTTTATATATCCCAGTGAGTTCGAAATTAAGTAAGAAATTAAAGACACTACATTATCTGCCTCATCCATTTCATATTTTGTATGTTATACAGACTATAGACGATAAGGACCATTTAACAACTAAACGATATGACAAACGAGATGAATTCTCAACTTTTCCATCCGATTCGACAAATTTCCTTTTTTATGTCAACTTTTCCATCATCATTTTCCTTTTTTCTGTAATTATATCCAGCTAGCTCCTGTGTGTGGTGTTTTCTTATTTAGATTTATCTCTGTTCGATATCTTCATCCTTTCATGTAAGAAAGATGAAATATCTTTATGCAATTTGCAAAACAAAGTCTTCGATATAGTGTTCTTTTTCCCTTGATATCTTTTAAAAGAAAGCAATAATTGATTGCTAGTCTAAATGTCACTTAATGATCTTTGTTGTAGCATAATTATTTCAGTGTACTGTCGCTTTCCACCTCCTTTGATGTAGCACAACTATTGTACGTGTTATCACGTCACAAACAGAGAAATGTCGACTCTGTCATGTTTAGATATTTATTAAAATGTTGGCTTTTCTTCATTGTTATCTTAGTCTGGAAGAATCAATTTCCAGGTTTTATTTCATCGTGTCTTTAAGTTAGGTTTGTCTTAAGGCTTTCAGAAATGACTACAATTAGTTGACGATAGTCACGTTTTATTTGAAACAAAAACAATAAAAAAAACTATCAAAATATGGTTTTCAATTACAATACAATAATGCTTTTAATAAAGATTTTTTTGAAACAAGTATTGCTTTTTATAATTGAACATTTCATTATTAAAATTAATCTATAATAATGAATATAAATGGCTATTATTTCCTGATCAAAGAATTCGAATCCATTGTTTACTGTATACGACACTATTTTCAAATTGATGTACCGCCTTGTTTAAGAATTTTTTTTTATCACTAATCACTTCAAATTGAACGTTATTTGTTTAAAGTTACACTACGTTAATGCTTGGACATGCATGATATTTACAGTATTGGTCGATAAACCTATAAGATTAAATAAAATTTATCACGTAATAAAATGTTTACAAACGCAAAATGAATATATAAATTCTTTAATTCCACACAAGTGATGTTTTAATTTCTATTACACATTATATATTGTCTATCATATATTTGAACACTTAAAGATATTCTTTGTAATAACAAAATTCTAGCATAATTCCATTTCCCTATACCGGTATATTCGTTATAACGAATGTTTTTTATTGTTCGTTATAACAAATTTAATTTGTTATAACGCTGTGGTTATAACTTTAATTCGTTAAAACAGATTCATTGAATTCATTATAACGAATTTAAAAACAGATCTTAAATGCTTTGTCGTGATCATGTTATAACTGAGTTATCATTTACTAAGTTGGACTTGCAATTACCCATGAAAAGGTCATTGGAATGCAGCGAGTATCGAGGGAAATGAGAATCAATTATCAACGTACTACGGCGTACTACTAGGGGCGTTGAGATTGCCTATATAATGGATATAACCGAACTTCTCTTTTTTTTGACGCAAAAAATAATGTAAAGATATATTTGTAGTAAAAACTAAAATTAATTATCAGTTTAAGGTTTAATACGAACTGTAGCGACATCGTAATTAACGTCTCAAAGAAGGATATCGTTTTGTTTTTTGACTGATTGTGGTTACCGGTCAGGGAAAACAAAGTGGAGCAAGTTTTATAAGCACTATTTTATAAGTATATATTAGTAGTATGCACAAGCTGACATGGTCAAAATAGCAAGATCGCACGTGCATGCACGTGTGCTTCGCTCTGATTGGCTGAAACTAAGTCTAAAGCCATAATCCTTTGAAATTTTGAACATAGACACACACTCACATGATATATAAGTTTTCGCAGCTGTCATTATTCACTTTAAATGGCTATATCTACTTTGTTTTTTGACGTGCTTTGAAATATAAAACATAGTCCTGTTCCTAAGAGATATATAAAAAAAATCAAAATCACGCGCTTGTGCGAACATTTCTATTGAATGTATAACTCCCTTGTTTTTCAACCAAACAGGATGGGATTTAGCGATATAGTTTGCTCTGTAAGACAGGCCTCTACAAGAAGGTATGGTCACAATACGTGGCAGTGGCAAATTAAATGAAAAATACATTTGAAAGGTGATTTTTCACTTTTGCGAAACAATATATTATTAAAATATGTAGATAGTGTAGGAAACATAACCATGCACATTCATTAAAATTTGTATAATTGCTAGCTTGTTAAAGTCAATGAGAGTTTGTCTTATTTAATGAAGCTTACCCCAAAGGATAAAGTAATCACGTGTAAATACGAGTTTTATCAATCTTGTCAATTCATGAACACTCTGTAATAACAGTTTAATTGTTTTAATAAATCTGCATAACAAATTAAATTCGTTATAACAAATTAGTGAATGTTATAACAAATTAAATTCGTTATAACAAATTTAATGATTTTAAAGGTTTTGCTGATTAGACAGGTAGTCTTCATTCGCCAGGTTTCCACATGATCATTTTTAACATTCTCAAACGAATTGTATTCAATACCAAAGTCCACTGACAAGAGTTATTACACGACCCCGTTGCAGTGCTTATATACGTCCTTGTAGACAATGCCTCTGCGATTTTTGTACGTCATCGTACGGGCATTGTCTAGTTTCAAAGGGGTTAAATGTAGGAATACAATATTATTTGATTTCATTTTGCTTATCCTGCATAATGCCGAAAGGCATAACGATTCTTAAAATCTACTCACAGCTTACAAAAAACTTACAGAGAGCTAAAAACATATTCAGTAAACATATCCTCCGTCATCATTGCATGAAAAGATTTTCGCATACAGCATTAATAAACTGTACGAATCAGCACTTGAATGAGGAATTTCATTTAATAATCATTTTATTAAAATGAATGTACTCTCTCATTCATTGATATCTTAGATTGCAATTTGCTACGTAATCACTGTTTAATGTTTCCCTTTCTGCTAAAAAAAAAAACATTAAAAATGTTTTCCATTTCAGTGACTGAACATTATATCAATACGAAGACCTTCTTTCATGTCCATATTGCTACTGAATTTCCCAAATGTAGAATATCAAATACAGGTATATTGCAATTGGGGAGAATAAACATATGAAACGCGATGTCATTGGTACAAAAATATCCCTAGAGGTTTAACCAATTAGTCTTGAATCATTTGAGAGTTTTTGATGTCTTTGACTTCTAAGGACAACGGACTTTGAAACTTTAATGAATTTAAAACTTAAAAGTATTGTTTCCTGATACTTACAGCAATGACTAAGGAGACAAAATATGGCAACCAACAAATGGCAAACAGCACAGCAACTATAATTAACATCTTTATGATCTTCATTCGCTTTGCAAAGAGAAAGCTATTGTTTGGCAATCCTCTCTTTTCCGTAGTTTCAACCGTCTCTCGATTTGAGCTCGAAGATTTCGAAGTAGAATTCGTCGTTACGTTTTCATTTGATGTAGTGTTCAATGCCATTTCTTCACTATTACCTTTCTGAGCATTATTACGATTTCTTTTTAATGGAAAAGACGGTGTATCCGTTACAGAGGATGTTTTCTTCATCACAAATCTTATGATGAGAACATAATTGTACCACATGATGATCAAGGGAATGACGTATGCAAGCAAAAGAACACAAAGTCCGTTGAAAATGGAGAAGGTTCTATGGAACGTACTGCCACATGATTCTATCGTGACGTTCTGTTTCAGTCCCACTGTGGTTACAGAGTACTCTACAAATGAGGGAGTGGACACAATGGCCGCCAGGATCCATACACAGACCACTAACTTCTTGGCGGATGACAGTGTCAGCTGTGGACGTAAACTATGGACGATGCTGTGTTTCCTTTCACAGGACAGAGCAACCAGAGTAAATATAGAGGCCGTGATACAGAAAATTGGAAATCCATTCACTATTTTACATAGTATTTCGCCTGAAAAGAAAAAAAAATTGAAAAAAAAAATTACGTAGAATACATACCCTTTTCTGTACAACACCCCGAACCAGCCTTAAGCATCAAAAGTGCCAAACATATAAATTTTGGCTTTTTAGAAACGTTTGCAATGAACAAAGTTCTGCAATTTTTTTCTGCGCACAAAAGCTTCAAAGCTTTTGATAATAGGTAAACAACAAAACAACACATTTGTGAATTATTTAACAGACCCACAAAATTTCACAATGGTGTTGCTTTTTACATACACTCTGTAGCAATTTCATAATGTTACCCTAGAAATATTCATGTTAACACTTAAATTTTAACAAGAGAGTTGAAAACCCTACAGGGTAAAATATGAAATGGGTTAATTTTATTATAATTATTGCATATAAGATACTTAACACTATTATAAAACATAAAAGTACTGGCTGATTTTCAAAAATCATTTAAGAATTTCTAGAAATTGCTAGGCCTTCGTTTGTACTGAATTTGATCATGGAGTGCGCAGTATACCGGATCAATACAAATAGTTCATTCAACAAGGATGCTTATTCCTCCTAGGCATCTGGGGGTCGTAACATAAAGGCTACTTAAGTCTAAGACCGTGCTTAAGTAGGACTTAAGTACAGTCTTAAACTTAAGACCGTAACTAAAAGCGTACTAAGATTTGACAATCTTAGCAAAACTTAGGCGGCCGGTAGAGGTGACTTAAGTATATCTTAACGTTCTTATACATATATTTAGAAGTATTTAAAGTTGATTGCCGATGTTAAAACATTCCTCTATTAATATTGTGCATTAAAGAAAATAGTTATCTGTATTTGACGCTGATTAAATAATTTTAATTTTTCGTTGGGGGAGGGGGAAGGGGTTATCACTGGTTCCAATATCACTCTCAACACAGCATATACCTTTGTAAATACAAAATTTAATTTTAGGGATCAGTCATGAACCATGATCTGTATGTTCACTTTGAAAATATGAGTTGAAATAATTTAAAAACAGAAAAGAATGAGGATGATGACCAAAACAGTAGTAAAACTTTAAGTATCTGTAAAGTAGAATAGAAGCGCGGATTTAGACAGGGTTCACTACAGTTCGATCGAGAGAGAAAGAAAGAATTGTTGATAAGTGGAGGCATACGAAAAAATATCCCCTGAACTTTTCTGCATCCTTGATTAAATTGCAAATGAGTATATTATCATAAACCTTCTGCAGTCTTTTCTTCTGGCATGTATGGCCTAATACATAGGGGGATTCAAAATGTACTGGACTTTTTCGAGTTTCAATTTCAAGTAGATAGACGGTCGGTTATACTGTCTTTTCTGCGATAATAACGGGGTAAATGAACATTTGTCAAACAAAAGAATTACAAACTGTAAACTGAAAACATCTCAGGTGATAAAACGGGTCCCGATAACACAATAGTCATACATTTAATTTTACAATGAACCACAAATCGCTTCTTTCTGACCGTGCAGCATTTGTTTTCAAATATTCCGAATAATTTATTACAGAATTATAATTTTAATACGAAATCCAATATAACATAACTAAAACTAATAGGTAAGGACGCCAACTTACATATGTATTTAATTAAAACCCTAACTGAATGACATTTAGCAATATATCTATATAAAATGATAAACCATAGGTTGAATCATAAGAAATATTTTTAACATAAGTTTGACTTAGCTAGGACCTAGCTTAGTTCGCTTTATGCTACGGTTTAAGTCGTACTTAAGTAGTACTTAGACAGGTCCTAAGATTATGCCTAAAACGTACTTACGACCCTACTTAAGTCAAAAACTTAGCAGGCTTTATGTTACGAGCCCCTGATCCCATCTTTGGATTGTTTAGGGATCGGTATTTATTGCCTTTTAAGAAATTGTATTGTACATGACTTTTTAGTTTGATTACTCCTCGTTATCTTCACCGTTTCCGTTTGATAATATTGCATCTAAAACATAAGTGTAATTGTCATGTTAAGAAACGTATAACTCGGAGGAAGACTTTTAAAAATCATCCCTTTTATAGCAATTATCTTAATATCTCTCCCACCACTTGTGCATTTCTTGTGGCAATTTGTTTCAATTAAAGGCTTGTTAACTGTAGAGAAGAAAACCAATCGATCAAAGCAAGCTTCACACTAGTATCTCAACTGGAAAGCTGGAATAAAGTTTGTGTAAAATGCAACTCTGACCAGTTCTGATTTTACTATTTAATTTTTTAAAGATAACAAGGGTACTACTGATAGCGAACTATCCGCTTGCAACAAGGCACATTTCTAATTAATCTAATGCTCCGCAATAGCATACACATCCACATCCATATTCACAAAAAATTATTGTTAGTTATAATAGCCTATTTCATATTCCAAGTATTTTTTGTTTGCTGTTACAATTCAAACCACACCAGAACATCAATAAAAATGTACCAATCATTATATATTTTTAAAAGTTTTATTTACAGATTTATTGATGTTGAAAACTATTCTTTTGTGGTTTTAGGAACAATGACAGCTGTGTTGCAATACCCTTGTTATTTCTATATTATTACATGTAATAATATAGAAATAACAAGGGTATTTAATCAAAAAATATTTAACGTGCCCTTATTATTCATTTATTTTTAAAAAATGAAATGTTTTGATGTGTCCTTGTTATTTTTAATGTTGATTGATTCATTGTATGTTGTTTAACGTCTCTCTACATATAATCAATCAATATTTTTATTTTTATTCAACAGTAAACTAATTTAGTCTACAGCGATTCTGTGCTCAAGCATACTCCACAACTTGCATCAAAGCAAAAATGAAATTAAAAGGCAATTTTTAATGATAACATTTGACAAAACATCAGACACATACGAAATCATTCTTGTCACTGCTTGTAAAAGAGATATGACTGAACCTTATTTGCTGATATTGAATGCAAAATCAAGCAAGCATCGCAATCTTTAATGAGGGTGCTTCTACCATTCAATCAATAAAAGAAAGGGTAAAATATAATTTCGTCTTTTTCTAACTACGAGATTTTACTGTGCGATGAGGTCATCATTATTCAATGTTGGTTTTTAGAATAATTGTTTTAAAATATTTTTTTTTATTCCTGTCTTTTTCTCCATTTTGAGATCCACGAACTGGTTAGAACTGTCGCACGATCTAATTTTAACAACGATTTCAAACTTGGATCTAATGATAAAGAGTTTGTCTCTACCTTTGAAAGTATAGCTGCTTAGATCAAAATTTCAGCAAAATACTTTACTTGTGGATACAAGCATGAATTTTGGTACCAATGTCTATCTGATACTACTAAATCTAAAAACATGGTTGGCCATGGTTTCCACCATTTTCAAGATGGCCACCACTAAGACAAACTGGCGATATTTTCATTCTGTCTGTCCTAACAAACAGCCTTTTTACTACCAAATAATTTATTATTTGACCGATTTAAGATATCTAAGAGGTATATCAAGACTATTTCAATTATATTCCATCCTTTTATGCTATAAATAAAGTCAAAATAACTTTCTTATAACACTATCCTGTTCCCTATTGTGGAATTTACATATATCATCACGCGGTAGCGAGAAACCAAATTCTAAAACTTGTAGCAGCTGTTTTACAAAATCTCCTAAGGCGTTCCCTCATTCCCTTACTGGGCCTGAATTACAAGCAATTTCTTTTTATTGAAAGTGTTCAATAAGTGAAATAACCCTTCAAGGAACGTAAATTCTCACTGAGTGAAATAATCCTTCAAGAAACATATAATCACCCTGAGTAAAATAATCCCCCAAAGAACGTAAAACAACAAGTAACTAATCAATTTTGTATTCGTTACAATAAAACCAAAGGTATTCATTCGATAGTCCCAATGAAACATGTCATGGATAAAGTGAGGATCTTTTGTAATCCATGAAAAAAGCCTATGATGGCTTGTAACCTTTATTTTTTCTTGCAAAAGGATAGGATGGCTACATGATACAATATATATGATACAACAGGAATGACCGTTAAAATTAAATTTGTTGTTATGTTTTGTGTTTTGCATATTGAAATGGCAGCTTTCAAATTTTTTGGTAATTTTTTTAAAGGAAGCGGCTTGGTGACTGCATTATCTGAAGCAGACATTACATCTCTTAGAATTGTTGAGTCTTTCCCGCCAGTTTCTAATCTAGCTAAAACAAGGCAATCTCAGCTTGATAAAAAAGGCATACCCAAATGCAAAGGAACTTGATAATAATTACGATGAAATTGGAATATGTGACATTTTTTTTTTGGTGTCCAGTACAAGATAAAAAGATTTCACGAGTTGAATTTTGGTCAAGAATTCTAACTTCTTGTCCCCTCTTTTGTTAGGTCTTTCAGAAAATCAGATTTCAAGCTTCACATGGAACCTTATCATATGTTATTTCATATGTTTTGCCCATGATCACGTCATTTATGCTCGATGGCAATTCACTTTGGGACATGCTTGCATTGCAAACACACCACCCGGTCATATACCAAGAATTTGAAAAAGGAAACTTTTTCGTTAGAAAGACATAGTAAGATTTCAAACATTGCCATTAACCAATCTCAAAAGCAGAACAATGCTACTGTAAAAGGTGTTGGAGGAGCAACAAGGACAGCTGAAGATCGAGCTGTTTGAAGGCGCTGGATAGAAATCAGCAGACTTACTGAAGAGTTCACAGGAGCATGTGGAAATGTTCTCAAGAAAAAGGAAAAACATCAAGAAGAAATCCATGCTGTTCACAAGGATTTTTTAAAAGGTAAATCGGCTTCTGATTACGTTTTAGGTAATGGGAAATTTAATTGTAGAAGAAACATCGGATTTTTATAATTAAGATACCAAAGATATTGTCGAAACTGAAACTGTAGATGAAATATTGGAAAAAGAGATATTGAGAGGGACCAATATAGCGTATTCCTTTCAAGAAAACTTGGAGGTGATTTTCAAGGTTCTTATGAAGCTGTTAAGAAAAATAAGTTTCGCCTATTTAATCCCAGATCAAAATATTATTCTTCAAAGTCAAACTTGGCAAATTTAAAAGATGACTGTATAATTTTTTTCTATGCTTTTTATTTCATGTCAGAGCAGTATGCGATCTGCAAGTCTTTTTTGGACATGAAAATCAGTCGTTCTCACAAAATGTTTTTTTAAATACGGGTGTCAAATTTCAATTGATGCCTATTTTGGAAGCTGGTCAAGAGTTGCCAAATATTGTACCGACAGTTGATTCACTTAAGCAATGAATCATTATGTGAACGCGCGTTACTCATTTTGTTTGCACACACAGTTGCAGTTATGAGACTATATATTTCAAAAAATAATGATTCATTGCTTATATTTACATTTTTTTAACTCTCTACCTTGACTGCAGATGTGACTTATATGTAAAAAAAATTATGTATTATCCTTCGTGTAAGCTGCAGTTAATGGAAGAGCCAACGTAACAGCTTCTGGTCAATGTGAGGGTGATTTTTGATTTTCGTTTATGACGTTGCACTTCCTCGGCGTGCAACGATTGTGACGTCAAACTAAAACGCATGCTTTAACCTTTTGGCACCCTGTCCGTGTTATGTTGTTTTGAATGCAATAGTCTGCACATCAATTCTGTTGCACAAAGCCATTTGATGGTAGACATTGTCTTCGATGTTTACAAAAACGAAAGTCTTAAGACAGAAGCTCAAAGAAAATGGGGTCTAGACGAAAAGTAACTGGAAACACTAGACCACCAAATTGATGGAACACTTTTCTTCGTTGCACAAAACTGAACTATTTGTTTTTTAGTACACAAAATTGTGTCCGCAATTACAGAGACAATTATCGTTGTAACAGGAAGAAAAAGTTGTCATTAACAAAGCTTTATATCACCTTGCAACCATGAAGAAGCTGATACCCGTATGTTCCTCATGCAACACTGGGTGGTAGCAGATCAATCAACATAGTCAGCTCAGATGCAGACGTTGCTGTTTTTGGTGTAACTGCTTTTAGGAAAATTATGAAAACCGATGAAATTTTTAAATAAGTGGTGGCCATCTTAAAAATGGCCGAAACTTGAATGGCCAACGATATTTCTTATTCCAGAAATAGTCAAGGAACATTCATGAAAAATTTGGTGCTTGTATCCGCAAGTGAAATATTTTCCCACTATCCGCTCCGCTATAACCATGCGTCCTGATAATCAGTGTAATAAGCTAGGGTGATAATATAACGAACAATAATCAAGCTAAAAAATTAATTGAAACAATACAACCAAAAGCAGAGCAAACACAGACCTCTAAAACATTGATGGTGAATTCAGGTGATATGGAGGGGTAAGCATTCCCTGTTTACCGGTTATTCCCGCTGTGTGCTCCTTGTCATAATCGGAAAACGAAAAATCAGTGTTTTGATAAAGCATTACAATTAGAATGAAAAACGTCAGTCAGCATATAATTTAATGATAGATTGTGTTTGCAAAAAAGGTCAATATATCGACCAAAGAAGTTGCAAAATTATGACGTTGAACAAGACTGTTGATATTCATGTTGCATTCATTTGTTAATTTGAATAAATTCTGCTTCAATTTTATACCTATACAGGTCTGTTTAAAACAGTGTGCAATTTGTTCCCATTGGAACTTCAACAGATTGTTCGAAGACCTGTCAATCTGAAAATCAAGCATATTTTTATTTTAAATTCGGTGTACTTTTGTGTACAATGACCAATGACAAACTTAAGGTAAGTGAACTTATAAATTACATTTTTATTGAAAAAGCAGTGATCTATGTAGTAAAAAAAACCTTTAAATTGAATTAATCGTGCGGAATGGTTGTATAACTGTACATAGTTACGTATTTACATCAATGATTTTAACATTTAAATTAATATTTTGTATTTTTAACGTCTCCGTAAGAAGATTCACCGGTTCCTGCCATTACATGTAAAAGGAATTAAATAATAATTCTTCTAAAGATAAAAAACGGCTTATGTGTATCCACATTCGTAAAATATTTGGAGTGACAGTAAATATTGATTCTGAAAACTTACAGAAAATTTTAAGCCATGGGTTATTGAGGATTTTGAAACCTAGTTTTTCCTATACCCTCTACCTTGAAGGACTTCCACTCTATTGTTTTTAGTGCCTTATAGCTTTATAAACGTTTAATTGTACGTGTCCGGATTAAAGAACACAAAATTGCATTATTTTATTAACCAATCACGTATAATTTCCAGAAATTCTACATTTACTTAATTTACTACCGTATGTACATGTATGAGTTAATTTAATGTGAATATGTATCTAAGCGAACATACATGTATATAATTGATACAAGCACGCAACCTTTTTGATATATTGGAAGCTGTCTTGAAAACATTTACTTGCGCGTGAACAACCAAATCAATTTTGATGATCTGATCTAATAAACATGGCGGAATAATTTAATTCTGTTTGTATTCTTGTCTCTCATTGGTTGATTTCCAAAAAGGAACGCATAACATTTTGTATAATCTGGTTTCTTATAAAGACACACCCCCTTGAAAACAGCTGAATCATCTGTATCCATCAATCCCCTCATTTCCAGTCCTTCGGATTCATGAAAAATTCCAGATTTAATGAATGTACCTTTAACTTCAAACAGTTGCTTCCTCTTACCTCATGTAAACAAGCATCATGGCTGCTAGATCTATGTATCAGTTTTTACCTCCCTTGCTTCCCATCACTTCCGTTACTACGGTTGTATTATTGCGCGGTAAATTTGAACTAATAAAAACAACACAATTTTACATCCCCAGTTGTTTAATTATTTTAAAATTAAATTATAAGGAATGACATGTATGAGTTAACTTAATGTGAATATGTTATGTATCTAAGCGAACATTCATGTATATAATTGATACAAGCACGCACCTTTTTTATATTGGATCCGCTTCGCGGATTATACACGTGAACAACCAAATCAATTTTGATGATCTGATCTGATAAACATGGCGGATTGTTACAATGTACATATTTATACATTGAATTTAACTACAAAAAATGAAATCGACAATTAACAAAAAATGTATATACCGGATACGTCATTAGATAATGCTTAAAACTTTTTAAAGGTATTCCCACAGCCTAAAACATAGTAATTAATTAATGTAATCGATCCAATAAGTATTTGCAATAAATTTCAAATACTCATTAAAATTTGATTAAAAGCAGTACTGACCATTCAGCAACGTACTTTATCGAACAATGACCTATTAATAATCAATTGCCGAGGTTTTGCTTACAGATTGCAAACTTATTTGGAAACAATTGGCTCATCGTGGTACGCAAATAGCTAAAATTATGAAGAATGCGTTCGATAAGGAGAAATACCAGTTGATTGAAGTGTCAATGATCATGTCCTCATTAATGTTTCAACAAGAGCGCTGTTTCCTAGAATGTCAGTAGATGCTATCATATTAATTTTGTGCTTTGATTTCTCTTTTCTTTGAAAGGGAAAGGACGTGAAAGTAGAAACATAGTACACTGTTTATGTCATATTTTGATTAAAAAAAAATAACCCATATTTCTCATTTATCTCATTATAAGTATTATAACGATAAAGAATACATGTAATTGAGTAAAAACATGCGTCTTTAATAGCAAATAGATTCATTTCAACCAATTTTATAGCTTAAATAAGAGCACAGACAAAAGTCTTCTGATGAAAAATCCGAAACGTTCTATAAAACCTTTGATTCTGAAAGAAAAAGATTTGGATTATGCATAATTTCATATATACCTTCGTGGAAGTTTTCTGCATGCGACAGGTCGTGCAGATTCTGTGGTAATACAAAGGCACCCAAAATGATGTCGCTAAGGGAAAGATTTCCAATAAAGATATTCGTTGCATTCCTCATCTTCTTGTTTCTGGCGACGATGATAACAACCAGAAAATTGCTCACCACTGCAAAGATTAATATCAGAGCTATTATGGTAAGAAAAATCACTAACTCGAAACTTAAACTCAT